TACAACTCTTCATTAGTGCCTTTTGGCAGGTGGGAATCTTTGGCGGCTAAAAATTGCATATTTTAAGTCCTATTTATTTAATCAAGGCAGCCTAAACCCCTTATTACTTCTCTTCGTTGTGAACTATCTTCAAACGCTTGGCTTTACTTTCCAACATTTCTCTTCTTATTTCTCTACACTCATTTAGACCAATTATCGCTTTCCCATTTTATTGGCCTAAACGAGCGTGGCCTACAATCGTGTCACTTCGGACACGGTCGCAACATCTCCCGAACTACCTGTTGTTGTCGTCGTCTGCACAGTCGAAGTGCCTGCGTCCAATGTCGGGCGCGGCAGATGCGAGTAGTAGCCCATTTGGCAACTGTTGTGGTGTGATACCTTCGCTGCCTGATTCACTTGATATTGTGCGGCTTTTAGTGCCTGTTGCTGCTGTTTCGTCATACAGTCGCAAGGTGTTTGTGGCATTGGCGCTGCAATTAGCTCTTCCGTCGATTTAGCCATAATTTTCGTCGTAGTGGTAGTAGTAATAAGTTCTTCCACAAACTGGGAGGGTGGTGGCGCATAATTCTCTACGTCTGTATAAGTGGAATAGCGACCGTAGGGGTTCTTGCGCGGTATTGAGTGACGTTGTTGTGCGATTTGCAATTTCACTGTAGGCTTCACACTCACCGTATCCAGATAACCATAGCCGAAGCCATAGCCACCGACAGCTTTCGTTGTTAGATTATCCCAAGATTTCGGTTTCTGCACGTAGGTTGCTTGTGGATAGATCTGTGAGGGTTGCACTTGCGTGGCGGTTATGTGATAGCGTTGCTGATAGATGCCGTGCACATGCGCAGACGGCTGTTGTTGCTGATGAGATTGCTGCTGCTGCTGCGATTGTTGTGCATGCTGTTGGTACGACTGTCGAGATTTGGTCGAAGGTTGACGCGATGCTGCATGCTCACTCTTTGGATCCCAGTACAAGGTATCCGTACTAAGCGATGTTGTATACGAATTGGAGTCTGCTGGCGCAAATTCACTCGAAGTGCAGGAGTGTAGACTGCAATGGCTCATCAGGCCTGTTGTCAAATCAAAGTAACGCGAACGTATGCTGCCGTTGTGCGAATCACAGCCACCATGTTGTTGTTGTTGTTGCTGCTGAAGTTGATGCTGCTGCTGTGGCGATAAGTGATGGTGATGATGATGTGGCTGCTGCGGTTGCGGCTGCTGTTGTTGCTGTTGCTGCAACATCTCCTGCGCTGTATGATGGTGATGATGATGCGTGTGATGACGCGTCGTGCCAGGCGACGCGTGCGATGTCTGGGACTTGGGTCTCGGCTGACGATCCTTCGAATCGCGCTCACGATCGCGATGTTTATGCTTGTGTGTGTGTTCCTTATGACGCGTTCGTCGTCGCGTCGGCACGCAATGTGCATCACAGCACGGACTAGCCAAATCATAAGCATCTAAGCTGACGTTGTCGCCATTGCCATTACCACCACTAGCACTAGTGGCTATAACGGCGCCCGCAGCACCCATTGCAGCTGCTTTTTCCGCCGACTTCCATCTAAAATGGCCAATACAAGGATTGCACGAATGCCCATAGCAATGTTTGGCTGATTTGTGCATTTTTTGTGCGTTGCTTGCTATTTTCGATTGCTGTTGTTGCTGCTGTTGGTGTTGCTGTTGATAAGCCTGTTGGTCCAATGAGTGTTGCTTAGTCGGTGGTTTGTGTTTTTCACACGTGCGTGGTGGTGGTACGGGTGCTTGTGAGCTAGCAGCGCTACGTTGTTGGCTTAAAACACTGCGTTGCGACAGACTTGCCATGCCCGTTGCGGTATCAAGCGATTCGGTATGTCGCAGAATAAAATGCTGTTCACTAGGACTACGTTTTATGCCATCTGCGCCGCTTGTAGAGCCCACGATATATTCGCCGCTGCTATTGGACGTAGAGGGTTTCATAACATAGCGGTAAGTCGGATCCAAGTAATGATAGGTGAGCATAAATTGTGCTGGTGGTGGTATGATTGGCTGTTGTGCCTGATGTCTGGCCATGCTGGGTACATCCTCAGTGGAAAGTGCCGGCCGATAGTAGGGTAAATTTTGCGTATCTCCATCTGTTGGTGAAATGCCGCTTTCAGCGTCCGTGGGTGATGTGGTGGCTTTCTTGCGCGCCGGCAAACTATGAGTCTTCCATTTGCCTTCAAGTAATTCGCGTTCGCGCAAACAAATGCGCTCCAGTTCATTCATTTTGCTATGCAATAGGTTTTGCAATTGTATGTAGCGCATATGAAGATCGACCTGAAAACACCGAGGTTGTGGATAAATAAAATTTACTAAATTCTTTATTTTAACATACCTTACGCACGCAATCTTCAAAGAGTACCACCATACGCATGCGCGTATCACAGCTCTTTATAAAATCGACAATTGTCTTGTGATCCGCCTTTTCCATATCTGTGCCATTTATCGATAAGATGACATCGCCTTCACGCATACCTGACTTGTAAGCAGGTCCATCGTATTCTACGTAATCAACATAGGTGATCATCTCTACTTCCTGATCCTTCTTATAGTGTATGCCATAGCTCTGTAGCGTGAAACCATATGAGTCATTCTTCTTTTCAATAATGATTGTACGTCTACGCCGATCTTCGTCGGGTTTCGATGCAAGAAAGCGTTCCGATCTGACGCGCCCAATGATATGCGTGGATTGGGACAGCTGAAAGAGAGTTAAAAATATTCTCGTTAATATTGAAGTTTTAAAATTTAATTATAGGGGTTTGGGAATATTCCTGAATCTATCATAGGCTCAGTTTTCGTAAAAACAACCGATCATTTAAGTTGAGTTCATGAAACCCGCCTTCGAATTGTTGGGTAGAAATACGATTCATAAAAGCCCGACTGCATGTGCCTTTTGAATACACTGAGAAAACAGTTTATTTAGTTACGTCAAGAAAATATGAGTTTTTCCTGAATGTACTACTAGTAGAAAATTTCTTAAAACGTATTAGTGATTAACCAACTTGCTCGAGTAATCGAATAATCGCACAGCCCTAATTAGCAGTAAAGCCGAAAATCTAATCAAATACTTAGGATATTTCGAAACATTTAGATTTTTGGACTTTCTGCCAATCTGAGTCTACTGTACGACGCCAACATGCCATACATTGGGTCAAACAGATGGAGCAACACTTCTGTAACGAATTAGCGAGAACTTTTAGGTCGCTGTCTTAGCTTTGCGATATTCATAATACACGCCGTTACAGAATGGCCACTCTGGTTGAAGGGATACGTTTGCTAAAGCCATGTACAGGTTAAGTTTGTAGTTAACGGAAATATTGCCAAGAATTGCAAAGAAAAAAAGTTTTGTAAGTAAAAAGACTTAGATGCAAGGTAACATTTGACGCTTGAGGCAAAGAGGCCCTTACACAATTATGCGCTTCTTTTTAGGTGAACTTAACCTCATCCCTAATTTAGCTAAAGTAAAGTAAAAAAGTCAATTCGTATAATCCTCAGAGCAGTAGTTATGCAAATGTTATTATGTCCTTTGAACCCTCAAATAATTTTCAATATTAATATTCTTAATTATTGCGCTTCTATGTATTAAATACTTATACATTCATTACTTGAAAACGGCTTGAACAATTTGTCTTCTTCTTGTGTATGTGTGACTAACAGTACACGACAATACAGTTTTATAAGGATAGAAAAAAACCTTCGTTTCTGACCTTTGGTCACTCCACTGTTAAAATATGCATGACTATAATAGATCAACCAACTAACAAAAAAAAAAAAAACATATTCAAAGCTTTCCATGTCAAAAGCCCATCAAAAATTCTAATAAACAAAAAGCTATAATAAAAAACACACCTTAGTCACTTACTTTCTACATCATTTCTGCTATCAGCACATAGCACTTGAATACGCATTGAAATTCTTTGTAATTGTTGTTACACCCAGAGGCATTGCTCATCATTTCTAAGCGCATAAAAATTCTCGTTAGTTAATGACAACTTTTGCAAGCAGCCCCTTGTTATGTGCTTATGTTTGTAGTTATGTAAAAATAACTACATACATACACACACACATAAATGTTGTATATACCCTGCAGGAAATGTATTTAACTATAAGCTAACTTTAAGTTGATTAGGAAGTAGCTAAAAGTCACTATTATCTGTACATTTTCTTTGGCGAAAGCTAACTATATTAAGCGTGATAAAAAGTTCCAAAAATTCCCTATTAAATCACATTCATTTCTCGATACTAGGTAATGCAAAATTGAGTGCCCCACTTTTCTTAGGACATCGCCCTGCGAAAAAAATTATTTTTGAATGTGAAAAGAGTTGTTTTACTGATTTCTTATTTTTTTTTTATTACTATACATTACACTTTCCCACTGGGTATGTTCATATAATAGTATTTAAAAAAACATACATAAATATGCGTTGAGTTCCTTGTTGCATTTCATGTATCAAGTCAATAATATGTAGCACGTTACAATCTTTAACTTTTGCTGGGTTTTAATGTACTAGGATATATTAGTAAAAATTTCAGCTGGCGAATATTTATGTATGGGCTCTAAAGGTGTTAAACAGCTGGGGTGTTCGTCTGGTGCCAAAAGCCTCATACCTCATCCTACTTGCAAAGGCAGCGCAGAAGCACAACAATTTTTTTCGCCATTTCATTCACTTCCAGGCAAGAATGGTAGAAGGGGTTGTCATGTGTGCCAAAACCTTAAGGGCACCTTGGCTATAACTAGTGGCACATAAACTCCTCCTGCACCACCAATTTTCCATAACGTAATTCATGGGCTTGAGGTTTGCAAATACCTCAGCTTTATATACCGAGGCGTGTTTGCCAAGAGAGAAGTGAAGATTGTCCCCGTTACTTTCGATATAGACTCGAACTCCTGACCCTGCATCAGTTTTGGAACTAACAGTATCTGCAATGTCCAAGCCCGGCCTAAGTATTAGGGTTAAGCAAGTACTCAGTCTCAGGGAAGCCGACATTGTACTATCACCTCAGAAAAGCCAATGGTGGCGCACTATCTTGTGGCATTGAAAAGACATTCAAGTCTAAAACTCAGCTTCCAGCAATTTCCGCCTCGCTCCACCTTGTATCATAAGAGCACCTATTTCTCTCAAGCCTACAGGTGGCCTTAAGGGCCTCTCCGCAGATAAATAATATTAAGTGATGGTAGATTTTTTAGCAGTGCATCCATAGCAGCGCCAGGTGTGGTAAGGAAAGCTCGCGTGCCAGACACTACAACCATTCTTTAAAAGTTGGCAGGCATACTTCNACAGTCGTTCCTACAAACTTTGGCGATAAAGACGACGTCTTCTAGTCTGCATGATTGTGGTATGCAAGCAAGTGCAAGCGACACAGTTTTTCAAGGTCGCCTCCAAAGGCTCAGCACCTTCTTTGTGTACAATAGTTAAGGCACCGTCCGGACCGGGCGATATGAAGCTGTCGATAGATTCTATAGCATATGTTATGGCATCTTCACGCGCCACAGTTCTGGGAACAAACTATTCGTACCCTAAAACTCACATTCTCTCCCTCTCCTGCCGAGAGAGGGGAATGTGTAACCATCACCTTTTTTGTTTAGCAATACCACTGCAGTATCCTTTGAACGAAGCCCTTTTCAAAAAAACGAATTAGCTTCTTTTAAGCTCCATATCAGGTTTTTTTAGGCGCTGCAGCTTTCGAAGTCATTCAGGCTTTTCAGGCGAGCAACTCTACAATAAAATTTTTGCGCTTGACGTTTCTTAAATTTTTTGACATTTCGCAGTGAATGGGAGAATCGTGTAGGAATAAGTTGTCCGACAGATGAGATAAGACTTAAAAATATTAGTTCGATAGAATAAGGGCAAGTCTGAAGTGGCTAGGACTTACCGTTGATTTTAGGCAATTTTTTTTTTATTGATGGTATCGTAAATTTTTTTCATATAAACAAGTCGTCAACATACTTTGCATTTTTCGGAAGAAAATGACTGACGCCGTCAACAAAAAAAAATAAACGGTAATTCCTAGCTAAAATTTAATGGGCTCAAAGTTTCGGTTTTTTTTTATATCTAATTTTTTATTAAAAAAAGTAGTGGAAAAAATTGTTTTCATTCAAAATTCTTATTTTTGTAACCGCAAATTGAAAAATGGAGATACATGGCTGAAAGTTTGCCACAATAACTTTTTTTGTAACCGACAACAAAATTTTTATGGGACCGAAAGAAAATAAATACTTGTTTTAATTGGCACAGTCTAATATTCATAGATATGTACGTGGGTCAGTTCCAAAAAAATTGCTATTGTTTGCCCCCTCCTTTTAAATTATTTTCTG